GCCCACATGCCCCCTCCCTGCCCACCTCCCCCGACGCCCAAAGCGCGCTTGGCCAGCGGACTCACAGGGCAGGAGTGGCCAGCTCCGGCGCCCTCATCCGGGTGCCCTCTTTCAGCCGCTGGCAGAATTCCTCGTTGATCTGCACCCCAGGGTACGGGGAGGCCCCTGGCAGCACGAATGGGGAGGGGTGGGTGGGGCGCAGGCCACAGCTGCTCAGCCCAGCCTCCCAAATCGCCTCCGCCCTGACCCCCATGTTGGGGTGCTTGTCCTGTAGCTCCTGGCAGGACCTGGGCAAGGCGCTCCCCTCCCCCAGGGCCAGTTCTTCATCTGGTTAAAATAGGGGGTGGCACCCGGCGGGGCTCAGTGGTTGAGCATTGACCTATGAATCTTGAGGTCATGGTTCGATTCCCGGTCAGGGCACATGCCCGGGTTGCTGGCTCGATCCCCAGTGTGGGGTGAGTAGGAGGCAGCCGATCCATGATCCTCTCTCATCACTGATGTTTCTATCTCTTCCCTCTCCCTTCCTCTCTGAACTTAATTAATTAGTGTGTATATATATATATATATGGGGTGCACTGCCCCCTGGGGCTGCAGCAAGCATCAAGCTTTAGAGCAGCGGTTCTCAACCTGTGGGTTGCGACCCCTTTGGGAGTCGAATGACCCTTTCACAGGGGTCGCCTAAGACCATCGGAGAACATATATATAATTACATATTGTTTTGTGATTAATCACTATGCTTTATGTTCAATTTGTAGCAATGAAATTGGGGTCACCACAGCATGAGGAACTGCATTAAAGGGTCGCGGCGTTAGGAAGGTTGAGAACCACTGCTTTAGAGACAGAGTTCCAACATCATCAGGGTCCTAGGGGCCTCTTGGCCGCCCTCTGCCCCCAGGGCAAGCCACAGAGCTGGGAGTCAGCCACCTCCCCTCGCTCAAGCCCCGCACTCCCATCAGAGGGACCCTCCAGGCCCTCGCCCAGCCCGGACGGCCCAAAGGAGCTGCAAGGGTCCCCTCTCCTTCTCCTGCTGCACCCATTGACCCACCCTGCCCCCTCCCACATTCAGGACCCTGGCCCTGGCTGCTGTCCTCCCAGGCCCACCCGCCTCACCCACCCCTTCCCCAGGCCAGCCCCTCCCGGGCCCTCCAGCTCACACCACGCAAGCTTCCAGGGCCCGCCATGCTCTTACTTAGCGACAGCACTCACAGTGGCCGTCCAGTGCTCTCCCTTCCCCACTGCCATGCCCTGCCCCACCCCAGCCAGGGCGGTCTGGGTCCCAGCGGGGCCCAGGCTCCCCTGTGGGGCTTCATAAGTAGGGGTGTCCCAGAGTGAGTGCCATCCTTTCCCAGTCCTTGAAGCAAGAGCAGCACCCCCACAGCAGGTGGGGAAGGGCTGGGGCAGGGAGGAGACTGGAGTCAGGGACTGCGAGTGAGCACGGGCTCTGTCCCCGCCCATGTGGGGGAGGAGGGGCTTCTCAAAACTCCTGCCTCAGCACGACCTGGCTGCCCGCTCCAGGGCGGCGCTGCCTGCACCAGGCTGGTGGGCCCTGGAGCCTGTGGTCCCACCTGCCCCTCCCCCGCATCTCCGCCCTGCACTCACCCCGGCACCCCGCCCTGCACTCACCCAGGGAGAAGATCTCCCAGAGCAGCACCCCGAAGGACCACACGTCGCTCTGCGTGGTGTACACCTTGTCGAAGATGCTCTCAGGCGCCATCCACTTCAGGGGCAGCCGGGCCTGCGGGAGGCAGAGGGCGTGAGCCCACAGAGAGGAGGAGAGGAGGGCAGCCACCTCTGTCCCTGGGCTCTCCCCCACTCTGGGGCCGGCTCTGTGTTTGCTCAGACGGCTCCTGCAACTCGCCCTGCTCCCCTGCACACCCGCAGGGGCTGGCACCTCCCGAAGGCTCCTCTGCACTGTCCTCTGCGCTGTCCGGGTCCATGTGGCCCCGCACTCACCCAGCAGCTCTTCACCCTCCTCCGCTCCAGCCCTCAGTCCAGCCCCTGGAGGAACTAGGTACCCACAGGCCTCTCCTCCCACCTCATCGCCCACCTGCCCCCCCCCCCCCCCCCCCCCCCCCCCCCCCCCCACGCCCCGCACCGCCCCCCCCCCCCCCGCCGTAGTAGTATTCTGGGATTCTAGTTCTCATGTGGCATACTAGTTCCTTCACACAGTGAAAACCTGAGCCCCAGGATGTGGAAGAACTGTAAGTGAAAGAACTCAGTAGTTTTGGCCTTAAACCACTCTAACTGGGACCCGTTATGATCTCCACATATGATACTTTACCCCATTCTAAGATTAACAGCCCCGTTGGTGAAACTTGACATCAGCTTCATATTGCCATAGTGATATTATCTAATTATAAGACAGGAAGTGAGAAACGTTGTTTAATCTAGTTGAAACCACAGAGGAATTTGAGAAAAACAGTACAGTGGCTTGTTTGGAAGTTTAGGACTTCATAGCTTGTCGTCTTTGAAGGTTTTGTTAAAAGTAAATGGATATATCCTGATTTTGGTGTCTTATCTGATGTCGTTCTCTCTGGCTGTATTATATTTCTAGGACTGGAATATAATGGAAGAATTTCAGCTATAGAATTGCAAGCACTTTTGCTGTAGCATTTTGTCATATTTATAAGTTTCCATTCCAAGTGCTGAGTTCACATTCTGCCTGATTTATAAAATCTAGTGAGGTGTTTTACTTATTTTTCAAAATAAAATCATGCCCCTCACCTCACCCACCTGCCCCTCACCGCCACATGCCCCACATTCTGCCTGTGAGTCAGAGAGGGAGACAAAGCCTCTGCACAGTGGCCTGTCACAGACTGGACGGACCCCTGCTGGCCCTGCCTCCCTCCAGCCCTCTTCCTTCCCTGGAGCAAACCTTTAATCAGCCGTGGGCCCTCCTTCAGGTGCCTGCCTGCCCACCTGCGTGCCACCAACCAGGCACACGCACCGGTCACCCATGGGCCTGTGGCTGCCCCGCGCTGGTTGTCCAGCTGCAGGACGGACCCGGGCTGGAGTAGGTCCCCAGGTTACCTATAACTTCTGTCCAACTTAGTTACACATTGGAAGTTCCCATGGCCAACTCCTCAGTTTAGATATTTTGCTAGAGTGTCTTCCAGGTGTCCAGCTGCAGGACGGACCCGGGCTGGGTGCGCCTCTGCATGAGCAGCCCCCGGGGGGCAGAGGGGTCAGCGTCCAACCCGTGGCCCAAGCCCGACTGGAGCAGCGGGGTCCCTGACCTCAGCTCCTGTCTGCAGTCCCTGCCCCACTCCCTGCCCCGTACGCCCAGGCTTGCATCTCTGCAGCCCTCAGACCTTCCCCGTGCACGGCAGTGTCCCGCCCGCCTGGCAGGAGGCCAGGGCCGCACTCACGCTGCCCTTGCGCACGTAGTCGGGGTCCTTGTAGATGTCCCGGGCCAGGCCGAAGTCGCAGATCTTCACCACGTCACTCTCCGACAGCAGGATGTTCCGCGCAGCCAGGTCTCTGTGGATGCACTAGGTGCACGAGGAGGAGGGTCAGCAAAGGTGCCCGGCCCGGCCCGGCCACAGATCCTGTGCACCCCAGACTGGCCACGGCCACGGATCCTGTGCACCCCGACTGGCCACGGCCACGGCCACAGTGCACCCGGGGACTGGCCACGGCCACAGATCCTGTGCACCCCGACTGGCCACGGCCACGGCCACAGTGCACCCGGGGACTGGCCACGGCCACAGATCCTGTGCACCCCGACTGGCCACGGCCACGGCCACAGTGCACCCGGGGACTGGCCACGGCCACAGATCCTGTGCACCCCGACTGGCCACGGCCACGGCCACGGCCACAGATCCTGTGCTCCACGGCCACACCTGTGCTCCCCGGACTAGCCACGGCCACGGCCACAGATCCTGTGCACCCGGACTGGCCATGGCGAGGGCTCGTGAAGATGTGGGACAGAGTCTGACGCCACATCCAGCTCTGCCACTGACCAGCGGGAACCTTGGGAAGCTAGTCCCACACTCGGGATCAGTTTTGTCCTCTGCCCAGTGGGAGAGGCCTGGACCTCAGGGCCGCTGTGAGTGAGCTCGGCTGCTCACATCAGGGCGTGCTGGTGGGGCCCAGCCCCTCCCCTCTGAAGGGCCTGCAGGCAGTCACCTTGCGGGAGGCCAGGAACTCCATCCCGCGGGCCACCTGGAAGCTGTAGCAGACAAGGTCCTCCATGGTCAGCGGGCTCAGCCACAGGTCCTCGGCTGCACAGAGGAGCAAGGCGGGCTCGAGAGGGGTCCCTTCCATGATCCCCGTCTTCCACACCACCCCAAAGGGAGTGTTTGTTCGCCTAATCCTTGCTGCACCGGCACCCCGTGGGCTCATCTCTAGTGCTGAGGCCCCTGGCACTAGCTAAGAAGCCCTCTGCCCCCCCCCCCCTTCCTAAGGCACAACCCATCACGTGCTCTCCCATGTATGTGCCCTCTTCCACCAGTTCCTGGAGGAGGCCCCGGCCGGCTTGTCCCACAGCCCCCGGGTCATGAGGTATCTTGGTGCCGCCACATTTTGCGCACGAGGAAACCAGGCTCGTACCTTCCTGGGTCCGAGTGGCCCGGGCCGCCTCGCCCTTGCCCATCAGGAGCCTTGTCAGGAGGGCCCTGTCACTGCTCCCCGGCCTCCGCCTCCTGTCGGCCCTGGCACCCTCCACCATGGCCTGGAAGCGCCTTCGCTGCTCCGGGGACTTCTCCTGCGGATGCACAAAGCAGGTCAGAAGCCCTCGTCCCCGAGGCAGAGGCATCACCCCCAGTCCACCTCGGCACCCCGCGGGCTCACCGCGAGCTCTGGCCCAGGCAGGGCGCCCACTTACTGCGTAGGGGCTGAAAGCCTCCCGCTTGGCGCGCAGGAAGTTGGAGAGGTTGCCGTATTTGCAGAACTCCACGATCACCATG